TTATTGCATCATTTTTCACTTGAAACAGGTATTATACAGTGTCTCAGATCTGTGCTCTATTGATTAATTCACAAATGGTTAATTGTGAATTAATTAACAATTAATGATTAATTCAGACAACACATTACTTAAGCCTTTGGTAGCTCCATTTTAAAATCTGAAACCTGATTTCTGTGCTCAAATTTTAGAAATCTTTTTCTTTAGGCAGAAACTTTTATTTAACAAACACTGTTGGTCATCCATTATCTACAATTTTGAGAGATTTTAAGAAGAGAATCATCTTCCATGAGGAGCTGGTGATGCTATCTACCTGCATAATTATGTCACAAAAGGAGAGCCTTCTGCCTCACTGAGCCATGCCACTCATTATCCTACGTTTTGGATTTTTATTTTATTTCATTTTTTTTGCAGAACCAGGGATTGAACTCAGGCCCTTGTGCTTGCCAGGCAAGTGCTTATTCTACTAAGCCATCTCCCCGGCCCACATTTTGAATTTTTACATTGGCTATGAAACTTAAATATCTTAATATTTTTATTTACCAGAAATTCTTTTAGGATTGGAATCCTTTGCATTCAAATGAATTCTTTGAAGAGTTTCCTGGACTAGGAAAAATGTCTAATAATGTCACTTGTTCTCCTGTGGACCACAGGACACTTTGATTTGCTCAGGGCACTTGTGATTAGCAGTGAATAGCTCAGATTATAAAAGGGTGAGGAAAAGGAAGCTAATTATAGAGGAATTTGAGAGAGAAAGGCTAGGTATAACTGAAGTGAGTCTTGGACGTGGAAGTCTACTAATCATGCTTCAGAGATGGGGTGGAGGAGCAGAAAGGTTAATGAGATGAGTTTTTGCATCAATTTTTTCTTGTGATTAAAGGAAAAAAAGCAAAAGTTAGAGAACTAGGACCATAGTCACTTGTTAGCGTACAGTTCAGCAGTGTTTCATATATTTACAGTGTGGTCCAACCATACTCCAGAACTGTATCATACTCTTGTAACACTGAAACTAGAGCCATTCAACAACAATTTTTCTATTTCTCCTTCCTCTAGTCTTTGGCAACTAATGAGATACTTTTACAATGTTATGGTGGCTTGTGTAATATAATGTTTTTTCTCACTGGAAAAAGAAATCAGTATTGCTCTTTCCTATTTTTATGAAAATTGGAAGTCTCTCGATGGTTCCAAATTACATACGTCAGATTTGAGCAAAGACAGGGTCTTGTAGCTAGATTCTGATGTAATATCTGACATCTTCTCCTTCTTTCTTTTTTTACTTACAGAAACATCGAGCATTAAGGATTTTGGCTGGTATTTTTTGTTGATACTGGAGTTGGAATTCAGGGAGCTATGAGAAATATTCCAGTCTTTTAAATTTTATTTTATTATTTTTTTAATCTTGAGATGGGGTCTTCCTAAATTGTCCAGACTGACCTCAAACTTGTGATTGGCCTGTTCAGCCTCCTGAGTATCTGGAATTACAGGGATCCACCTCCATGCCTGGCTGCTTGTTCTTGTTAAATTGCCACTACTTGATTGTGGGTGAGCTTGAAGATATGATGACATATAGGTTACATAATCTTCCTGCTAAGAGCTTATGAGCACATGAAAAATACTCTGCAATACTACTTTTCTTCCCTTGTGTGCCTGCAGCAACGTGTCACTCAGCTTCAAATTTCCCACAGTTAAGAAGGCCAACGAAATAAGGAAATATTTTCCTACTTAATTAAAAAACGCTTTGCAAAGTGGCAAGCAAGGGATGGGGGAGGAAAGGAAGAAATATGCCTACGTAAATCCTTTTTTTTTCAGAACCAGGGATTGAACTCAGGCCCTTGCACTTGCCAGGGAAGTGCTTATTCCACTGAGCCATCTCCCTGGGCCCCTTGCCTACGTAAATACATATGCGATTTTTAAATTTTTCTTTTTTTAATTGTAGTTGCTTTTGTATAGAGTCCCTTCAGCATGCAAAGCCTTTGTACACGATTCTGGAATCTTCTGGCTGTCACATGCCACCTAGGCCACATTTGTGATTCACGCCCTTGCAAGTGGCAAATTATATGAGAGTCTCACTTGAATGGAGTGTGGCGTGTGTGGTATTTGTAAAGACGGGATAGGATGCGGCTGGTGTCTAAGGCTGCCAGTAGTTAAATGCTTCAACAGGGCACAGATTATTTAACAGCTTGGCGAGGAAGCCCGTCGTACATTGCTTTCATTCCGCTGCCTGTTACACCTGGTCACTTGCCAGCGCAACAGGTGAAAACTCGTTGAGTGGGCGGTGGTTTCTGGGACACAGACTGGAGGATCCAGGAGTTCTGAATTCCTTTGGCAGCAGCTTCCTCCCAAAGAATGAGGTAGATCATAGTACTACTGATCACTACTGCTCAAATTATTTCTATATGAAAAGGAGTAATGGTTCTCATGGCTGAGTTTATGCTGCAAGTATGTCCGTGGGGCAGCAGGGAAAGAGCCTTCGTAAGATGATTATTATTAGATCTTACATGAATTAGGTGATAACGGTGTTTCAGATGAAGATAAAGTTGACCCTGACCTGCTCAGAATTTTGAAAATCTTTTAAAATTTTTACTTTTGTGATAAATATATTTATTGTGGATATTAATGGGGTTTATTTGACAACTCAATATATGCATACAACTATTTACAATTTTGTTTTATTTTCTTTTTATAAATAATTAAGTTTATTGCTACATTTAAATATGCATAATGATCACCTTAAGAGTAGGGAATTTGTATCTGTACATGAAATAGCTTAGTTTCACTTTATTTTCTCCATTCACCTCCCTGCTCTTTAACCCTTCTTCCCCCTTTATTTCTTATAGAAATCTCTACTCTTGAGGTTTCATGATAAATAAATGAGATCACTTTATTTATCAATAAAACAATATGCTTTGCAGTCTTACAACATTAGCTTTTTCTCTCATTGTTTATTAGTGCCCACTGGCTGTACAGATTATGGGGTTTCATTCTGGCAGATTTGCACATGTACATGGCACACTTAGTCACCCCCTTGCAGGCACTCCCGCTGCCCACGCCCTCCAGGTTCACAGCTTGGGGGGAAGCTTTCCTGTGCATACTGTGCTCAGGGTCCTGCTCCTCTTCCCTGGACCCCTGCCCCCTCCCCTCCCCCTTCCCTTCCACTTGTCTAATAATAGTCTCCCTTCTATTTTCTTGTCTGACAAGGATCCCTAAATATGACACCCAAAGAAATTTGTGTCCTTGAAGAATATGAGGGAAGAAAATAAATGATTCATGGCTCTCAAATGTTAATATAAAATTGGTGAGAATAGGAGTTGGTCAGACATATAGTTTACATGTATAGACTACTGTAAAGAAAAGGTTGGACTGAAGAGCCTATTTAACAATGAGTTTGGGCTGAGGATATAGTATGTGGCATAGTGCCTTCCTGGCAAGTGTGAGGCCCTGAGTTCAATTCCCAGTACCAAACCAAACCAAACCGAACTGCACAAAACCAATGAATTCTTGTTTCTCATATTTTTATATAGAAATAATTTAAAAGAGTGATTATGAAAACTATTCAAGTGACAATTAATTCATGTCCCTATAAAATAGTGCTTTTAATCACATGTTGCTAATGTAGAAATTAGATTCATAAACTCAGGAAAGCTAGTTCTTCAGAAATAATCTCTGACCCAAATGCTACAACTCTTGTTGTATAGGTCTTGCTTTATCTTGGTCTTAACCATCAAGCAGAAAAGTATAAAAATGAAGAATAAGAAGTAAAGACATGCTGTTATGTTGAGCTGTAGGGGACTCAGGTCAACAATTTCTGACATTGCCAGTCAAGCGGAAGACCCAATACTATTATGGGCTACTGGACTCTTTTAGAATATTTTGCTGAGTTAACTCACCTATAATATTCAAATGATGGAACTAAACAAAAAAAGGGTATACAGATGAATGTCCATTTTGTACCTGTGTATTCAAAATGGTTAGGATAGATATATAGTTACATTCTGTTAATGAATAGAGGGATTTGTAATAGTGTTTGTAAATAGGATATCATGTCTGCATCTTGTACAACAAATAACCACTAGGAAGAATGTATGCAATGTGTTAATTTTTGGAACTGTCCTACCAATTTGGTTTGAAACTGTCTCATTGCTATTTGTTTCTCAATAAAATTATGGGAAAAAAATAAAAAAAAATCTCTGCGCCCAGAATGGTGGCAGATGGCCAAAATCCCAGCACTTGGGAGGCTGAGGCAGGAGGAGCACCATGAGTTCAAGGCCAGTGTAAGTTACATAGTAAGCTCATGGTCAGCCTGAAGTACATATCCAGACCCTGACTCAAAAAATAAATAAATAAAATAAAAATAAAAAAAAACATTCTAGAAGTAGAATTTTTACCATGTTTGGTGTTCAGAGAGGTTTGCTGAGCTGACTTTTTCTCCTCTCATGGATTGGATAAAAGGGGAAATAGAAATCTGTACTCTCATAGCCTTGTATTATGAGCATATTATTAAGAGCTTGGTTTTTATACAGGTTTGTTAATTTTGGTCAGCATTATTTCCAGCTGAGTAGCATTTGTCTAGGTTGGGCGCTTTTCTCAGAAGAGTCCTTCTCGTGGGGCTACTCTATTCTGCAGAGGAAGATAGTGGCTACCAGCTACTGAATTAGCTAGCCATGATGGGGGCAATTCAAACAGATAACTGAAATATTTCCCTATAAATACCCTTTTCTAAAGCAGAAGAAGATTTCTAGGGAGACTCGCAAAGCCATCAAGAGCCACCTTTCCTCCAGTGCATGGTATGTACGTGGGTCTCAGGGCTGTGTGTGTGGGGAGAGTCAGTCCATGTCTCCACCTTCAGTTAAGCAGAATCAACCAGACCCTGCCCAGTGTTCACCGACGATGCTGCTCCCGTGTGAACCATCTCCCTTTGAAGACCAGCAGTGGAGTGGGATGGTTGGTAACATCCTAATGCAAAGAAATGAACTGACTGCTGCTTCTGTTTCTTGTCTGTGAAGCCCCTGCCACCTTGTCACGGCTCTGCAGAATCCATGCAGGTGTACAGACAGCACTGCCAAATAGCAGAAGAGTACCATGAGGTCAAAAAGGAGATCGCTTTGCTTGAGGAAAGGAAGTAAGTACTCTTCCCCTGAGTGCTCTCACCTTGGAGCCCCTCTCTCCTGGGAAGAGACTGGAGTGGGCGGGAGGGGAGAGATGTAGGAATGATCTAGGTAGTCCTGCTGTAGATCAGGGGCTTTACTGTACAGAGTAGCAGAAAGGACAGTAGGAATGCTTCCTACTCACAAATGGTAAGACATCTTACTAACTCTTGTTTGAAACAAAGACTGCCAAAGTACTACCATAGCCAGGCGATGGCCTCAATGAATGCACTCCAAGGCCTCAGAGTGCTTTGGCATGATAGTAATTAATGCTTAGATGGCGGTTTTCCCACTTTAAAAGAAGAGGCCATTGGAATAACATAAACATATCATTTGACTAACTGCATTTTACAGTTCAAATAAATTTTTATCTTCATAGCTTTTATTACCATTAAGTTCTTCTTGTTCTGCCATAGGGAATTATATAGTTCTATTAATTAGCATGCTCCACTTTTACTTACTCATAACTTTTTATTTCAGAATCCTTTTTAATTGCACTCAGTTCTGCGAACATGTATCCCAGTGGCCTCTCTCTCTCTCTCTCTCTCCCTCTCTCTCATTCTTTCAAAGCATCAGATTATATACTTTGCTTTCATAGCACTGGCTATTTTGTATTTTCATATTTATTAGAGAGATCTATTGACTAATGTATTTGTACCTCCTACATACTAGGTGATGTGCTGCAAAAGCACAGATAGTCAGATGTTGTCCTTCACTGAATTCCGAGTCTTGTATGCTACGTGGCATCTAAAGGCTAAAGAAGTTATTTTCCAATGCATGGAACATACAAATACCTCAAACATGTTTCAGTCCTTTAACTATCTGTTCTCGCCTTCATCTTCCTGGAGTGACACATACTATATAGCAGTGACTGAAATTTTAAACAAATTAGGATGAAATGTATTTTGTTTTGAGAAATTTAAGAAACTCTTAGAACTTGTTTGAGACTTCCACTTCAAATAGTTGGTGGACAATATTTATCATTTACTGTAGGACCTCAGCCCTTTCATATTTCCTTGTTTTATCATGTGTAAAACATCATGTTCAGACAGGACTTTGGATATAATGGATTAATTTTATTTAAAAAAATCAGAAACACAACCTCTGCTTCACAAATCTTAGGCTTTCATTTTGGTCTAAGAATTTCAACAAAGTGGATATAACTCAGCAGCATGGCACCTGCCTGGCAAGCACTAGGTCCTGGGTTTGAGTCCTGATACCCCCAAAATGGTGATCAATCAGGTTATGGGGATACATATTTATACAGTCTGATTTCTACAAAAAGTTTTATTATGAAGTAATTGAAGATTATTAATATACTGACCAATGCTGCAGCAAAAGGTTA